CAGCTGGGAAAAAAGAAATTTGAAGGGAAGACAACTTGTAGCTTATGTTCTTCCTGGTTGAAACGGTCTTAGAATCCTAAGGAGATGTCAATGGTTGACACTGGCTGGCAGCAAAACTTACCCTCTTCAAATTACTTGGTCTTGGAATGAGAGCTGGGGGGGGGGGCAAAGCAAGAAAAGACACCCAGGACACACATTTCTTTAATGGCTTGCAGGATGAGATTTTCATGACTGGAAAAGCCAAGTCATACTGACAGCCCTGAAGTAAGGAGACTTCACCTTGTTAAACATAGCAGTCAGTTTCCTTTTTATAAACAGTAGATGGCTGCCATTCAAAATATTCTTCGGTTTTCAAGGAAATATTTTATAAATGCTGATGGTAAGATATATAAGCCATCAAAGCAAATGTGAACTGAAGTCAAAACAGTGTTCTATGCCTGTGCTGAGTCCAAAACAATGCAACTTTTTAAAGTCATGTTGGGATCCCAGCTACCACAGGGATGTTACCCATGGAGTGTTTTTGCCAGTTGTACATGTATAAAAATTTGCTAGGGTCCAAATATACATGTATGTTCTTGAAAAAAATCTAATTTTTAATACAATGTGAACTGTTTCTAAGCAAAGAATCTCAGAGTGACTCCTGCAGAGGCAAAAAAGTGTACATTGCTCCCATCATAAAATCAAACAGACAGCCCCCCAAAAAACAAATAACAAACAAACAAAACAAGAACTACCAAAAACTCACAAAAAAGCTACTAGATAAAAATTTGGCTTGAATTTTTCTCATGCATTTCTTTATTTTAAGTATGTGTATGGAATATGCATGTATGTGTGTGTGCTTTGTGTATGTGCACATGCATACATAAACGTGTATGCCGATGAAGGTCAGAGGTTGAGGTTGGGCAGCATCCTCAGTTGCCCTCCATCTTAGTTTTTGAAACAAAGTTTCTTATTGAACCTGGAAATCCCTGCTTTTGCTGACTGGCTAGTCAATGAGCCCTGAGGAATCACATATCCCTTCTCCTCCAACAATAGTGCTATGTTACAGACAGGTTGCCTCCACTCTTGACTTTTTTTATTTAAAAGAATTATTTTTCATTTTGCATACCAACCCAAGTTCCCTCTCCCTCTCCTTCTCCTGCCCCAACCTCCCCCACCTTCCCCACTCCTCAGAGCTGGGTAAAGCCTTCCTGGGTGAGTCAACGAAGTCCTCCATACCAAGTTGAGGCAGGCCCAAAGCCCTCCTCGCTGTATCAAGGCTGAGCCAGTTATCCCACCATAAGGAATGGGCTCCAAAAAGCCAGTTCATGCACCCAGCGCAGGTCCTGGTCCTACCGCCAGGGCCCCTTCAACAGATCAAGCCACATAACTGTCGCCTCCATTCAGAGGTCCATCCCCTGCATGTTCCCCAACTATCAGTCCAGAGTCTGCAAGCTCCCACTAGCTCCGGTCAACTGTCTTTCTTGTTCATGTGATCCCTCCTCCTTCTCTTCAACTGAACTCCAGGAGCTCAGCAGCATTATTGTAATAGCCAGAACCTGGAAACAATTAGGATGTCCCTCAACTGAAGAATGGATAAAGAAAATGTGGTACATTTACACCATGGAGTATTACTCAGCTAAAAAACAATGACATCTTGAAATCTGCAGGCAAATGGGTGGAACTAGAAAAAAATATCTTGAGTGAGGCAACCCAGACCCAGAAAGACAAACACGAAATGTACTCACTCATAAGTGAGTATATTAGACATAAAGCAAAGGATAACCAAGCTACAGTCCACAACCCCAGAGAAGTTAGGTAAAAAGGAGGACCCTAAGAGGGACACACATGGAGGGCCCCAGGAAGGGAAAATAGTTAAGATCTCCTGGGTAAATTGGAAGAGGTGTTAGAAGGGAGGGGACGGGGGGGATGGGAACATGAAGGATACAGAACACTCTTGGCTTTTTAAATGGGTAAGGGCACCTGAACTCAGGTCCTCACGCTTATGTAGCAAGCACTGAGTCATCTCCCCAGATCAGGTTTGAACTTTTTTCAATTAAGAAAATTGTATAAGCACAATTTTCAATTCCCTGGCTATTTAATATATATCTTAGTATAAAATGTGAGCTAGCAAGTCCTTCTGTCCAATCTCTTGCCTACAGAAAAAGAAAATAAATAATTTGGCATTATTATGGAAATGAAACAGTCATAGTACTTGTTTCTAAAAATTTGACAACATTCCTGGGACAAGTCACTTTATCCCTTGTCACTGACTTTCCTTAACTGAGAAATTAATAAAATACAGTGTTTGTCTAAAACATAATGACGAGAAGATAAAACATAATCATGAGAAGATGATTTCAAACAGATAGGAGAAATACTTGGATTGTGTCTGTTCAGTAAGTGCTGGCTATTTTAGTCTTCATTTTGCAAGTAAAATTGACGGAATTTCAGGACACTTAAGAGAATCTTTCAAAGTTGTATGACTAATACAATATGAGATAAAATCTAGAATCATGAATGGAATCCATTGTGGGTAGATCTAAAAATTTTAAATTTAAAAACATATTTATTGGTTTATGAATATGAAGATGCATGAGTGGTGGTCCCCAGCATGTGGGAGTTGGCTTTCTCTCCTCTACTATGTCAGTTCTAGAGGTAGAATTCAGGCTGTCAGTCTTTCAGGGTGACTTCATATTGCTAATGGATTTTACAGATGTCTGCATGATTTGTTAAAATACCTTGTCATATGAGTGTTAAAGCTTCTATCATAAAGTGCTGTGCCTGTTTCCTCAGTGGGCAGTAAATATAAGTTTAAGAGGCAATGTGGGGCATGCAAGCTGTTGGACAGCTTCTTGGTACCACCATACAAAGTTCCCTATGGCTTGTGATGGTCATGATTACTTCTATCAGCCTGATTTGGTCATTGCAGAAGCTAAAACACCTTTTGTCTTTCATTATGGATCCCCCAACACATAGTGACTGGATCTTGAGGAGTCTGACCTTGCTAGTAGATTAAATTTCAATAGGTTTATATAACTTGAGGACTCAGCACACGAAGAAAACTTGGAATGTGATGAAAACTTTGATGAGGTTTAGCTAAAGCTTGGGATATGTGATCACTGGGGCCTTGACTGTATACACGGTCTCCACCCCCTTTTCTTCATCTCTTTGATTTAGGTTTGTGGCCATCGTGAGGACAGAAGCCTTGCTTACTCATCCCCACTCTGCCATTGTTCTGTGCCCACCAAGTACTCAGTAACAGAGCCTAAGGAAAATGGACTGATAATTCTAAAATCACTATCCTTCACTTTTAAAGGGACATTCTCAAGTATTTTGTCATAGCAATGTAACATGACTAACTTACCTGTTTAATTGTATAACATTCCTCACTAGTTTGTTGTTACAATGAAAAGAAATAACTTCTTAGTGTTGGCCCTTACTAATAATATTGGCTTTTCAAAAACATTAGCTATTTTTTACTGTGTCTAATAATAGCTAAAATAACAGTGCCATGCTTTCTGTTTTAACTAACACTCCAGAAGATGTTTGACTAGTAGATGAAGGTTTTGTAATTTGCAAGAATTAGCCACAACCTACCTCAGTACCTGGCACAGAATAAGTGGTCAGCAAATATTGTCAACAAACAAACAAAAATCCCCAATTGTATGGATGTTTTTATAAGTGGGTTTCTCAGTGGGAAGAGAGTGTGTGATTTGTTCCAGTCTCAAAACATTTCATTGTCCAAGAAATAAAAATTACCATTGCTTTGAGTGAACATTTATCACTACGTGAGTAACCAAGTCAAATGTCTAATGACAGAGGAGGTAGGAAAGGTCTCAGTGGGTCTAGGTCCCTGCCGTAAGAAAGTTAGACAGTGCCAAGTGTCACCTCCTGAGCTCTCTGTTGAGGAATGTTCCCACCATCTCTTCCTACCTGGAATTTCCCATTTGCTCTCTGGAACCATCTCCACAAGACTCTGGGGATCACAGGCTGTTTATCTAGCCATGAGTGGAACATTTTGGTTTTGTTGAAATAATGAATATTCGCGCTGAAAAGAAGCTCACCCATAATCTAGTTCATTTTTTAGATCTGTAGCAGTAGGTGTGTCACCATGACTCTATGTGTAGCTGGCTGAACACTGGACAGCAAGCTTCTATGCCTATTGAGTTTTCCTTAACATAATCTGGTGCAGCCACTACCAAGTGATTCAAATTGGCATGTAGGAGGAAACCGGTTTTCCAGCCTCATGACATCCCAGTATCCTATTACAACTGGTAAATTAAGAAGATGCCATTTGATTTGTCTGTGTGCTGTAGTGCTTAGGAGTGATATGTCATTTTGGGTCAAGGAGCCATGTGACTTTACCAAATATCCTAAGTGTTCTGATTATTTTTTTCCTCATTCTTTGCAGAATAAAGAAGGAAGCCCTTTAAAGTTATCATTCAATTACCCCAACACAAATCTACACAGCAGGTAAATGCTGATCTTTTGCTTGCATAAAGGGCAGAAAAAAAAAGGTTCTCTGATGAACAGAAGAATATGAATGCTTTCTGTGTGGATGCACGTGAAAAGAAAGCACATTTAAGACAGTGATGAATATGGGCCAGGGGAGAATTGAAATGAAATGCATTTTCACATTTTAAGCCATTTAATTTAGGAGCACAGAACTAGCTTTCAAATCGTTAAGCATCACAAACACAGAATGTATGTGATGCTGCCTCTCTAGGACGAAAGCACATAAGGTGTGAGCCTTTCTTACCCTCTTCCAATGAAGACTATGGAAAACTGGAGAAAATTAAGATTTTTTCCAGCAGAAGAGTAGAAATCAAATGACCAAATGTACAATTCTGGTACAGGTTAGATTCCTCTCCCCCTTACTGGGATGATGTCTGTGAGCAGGGAGGGAAGACAATCTGAAATACACTACCATCCTCATCACTCCCATCTTCTCTCTCCTTTGCACTGGTCCCCTTTTGAAGTATGGAGGCTAAATATGTAAATTAGAAAATAAGCCAGTATTATATGAAAACATATTTATTGGCTGAATAATAAAACTTAGGTTAAGGGGTTTCTAGAATTAGACCCATGCCCCTTGAAATACAAATATCCAATAAGCAAAAAGAATCAATTCTCTGCCACCCCTGGAAGAAAGAATACACTGGCAGCGTAAATCATAGACATTAAGAGGTGTGTTCCTTTGATGGTACAGTGAAAGATGCTGCAAATCCACATCATGACTGGACAACTGCCCCAAAGCTTTGCTGTCTTAAATGCTGCATCTTTGACTTACACAAACCCACAGGGAACCTTGAACATCTTACTGCTGGCAATTTGCATATAAGATGTCAACAACACTCTTTCAACAAAACAGAAACAACTTAAAACATGTAAATAAATAAGAGCTAGAGGAGAATGAAGCAACTTTCTTGGCTGGCAAATGTGCAACACACCTGGGACCTCATCTAAAAAGAGACCAAAGAGAAGACTGAAGAAGCCATGGAACCATCCACCAAGTCCCCCCTCGGTTTGTCCATACAGTCTTCAGGGTGAGGAAGGTTAATCAGTCCTTGCACACAAAATACACCTTTTAGATGGAGCTGACAGAAGTGATTCTGTAGAGCTATTAAGCTCTTTAGGAAATACACCTGGGATTACTAATCCTCAGTAATAACATAAATAATGCACAAAACTAAACCAGAATCAGAATAATGCAACCTTTTAAAGTTTTCTTTCTTTTGAAAAGACAACTTCAGACGCATTCTGAAAGTGCAAATTTGGATAAAATAAAACATTTACAATGGAAAATTTAGCCCGTCCTCTGCCCCCCACCCTCCAGATAGCCGCTTTTCAGTCGACCTAGCCGGGTCCCATGGCTCCTGATGGTGAGTGCCAGCAGCTCGTATTTGTCTCTGAGGCCCACAGAGATGTCCAGTGTCTCTTTCAGCAATGACCTGGTGTGGACCAGCATCCCCAGGAAGTCCTCGTTGAGTCTGCTTTCCTGCCGGCTATCTTGCTCCTGGCCCTGCTTGAACTTGCTTTCCAGCTCAGTGAGGGACTTGTCAGAGTTGGAGTAAGCATCCCCAATCTGGTGGGACTCTCGCCTCAGGTACTTGCCATAGCTCTCTTCCCCATCCAGGTCATAGGAAATGCTTTTGCTGATGCCCTCCAGGACGCGCCCAGCATCCTCCACCTGGCGGCCCAGCACTGTGAACTCCTCTCGAAGGGTGAGGCTCAGCAAGCTACTGGCTTGGCCCCCTTCCCCCTGGGAGCAGCGCCGGCGATCACTCACCCTGAAGAGCAGCTGGCACTTCTCTGGGTCATCATTCTCCTCGTAGTCTCCATCAGGCACGAAATAATGATGCAGAGTCCCATTAGACATTTCTGGGTACAGGGGACCATCAAAGTAGCCTCGACACAGGTGGCAGAAGAAACCCATCCAGATCAACTTGGGGATCACCATTCTGGATATTTGGGAAAAGAGTTTTAGTTCAGGAACAAGAATAGGGGTTCCCCCAGGGAGTCAGTGGCTCCCGGTGACTGCACTTTCCTCAGGCACTGCCGGCTTGCTGCTCTCTGATCCTAGTTCCCCCACAAGCTTCATGTGGCTCTGCGCAGCTTCCCTCAGCACCAGCTCCTCTTTGTCCCTGCTCCTCTTTCTGTTGGGCTGCTGGATCTCAGCCGTGGCTTTTCCAGCAGGATCGTCTTCCCCAGCGTGTGGAGACCTACTGCTCCAGGCCCTGGCTCTGGGGCCACCTTCAGAGTTCCTTCTGGCTCCAGGGAGATGGAGCTAGTAGCTAAGAGAAGCTGTTCAGGCGCTCTGATACTGTTTCAACCTCTGGTCTGGGTGGGAATACAGAGAGCTTTCCCTTTGGCTAAAGATATCCCCAGGATTCCAAGGCTCTCAAATTACAGCCCATTTCGTCACTTGGAAGCCAGGGAACAAGTTTGGAAAGAAAGCACGCTCACCAGGTCCCTTATTAAAGGTACAGGGTATCTTTTTCAAGATTAGAACAGGAGACCCTGTACAATAGGACTTAGCTTGAATAGGGGTTTAGAGGACGAATATAAACAAAATCTACTGCTGTTAGTATCCTTAGGCAAGAGGTGACTGTTTTAGAGAAATGTTTCAGACATTTAATTAACTAGGCAAGATATATTTGTACTCATTTTCAAAACTTTTTTCTTTGAGGGCAAAATTTGAAGTATTGGAAATAGCAGTTTTGTTTGGGAATGGTTTAAAGTTTATTTAAAAAAACAACACTTCAGAAACAACATGAATATAGAAAACAGATTTTCTATATCCATAGGGCATAGTTGCTAATACACATAAAAAATAGTTTTCAGTTTAATCAGTAAAAGGACAACTGAGATTGCAGTGCAATCTACTAAACAAAGTCCCCACTGAGTCTTACTGAACCTTTTATCTAGTGCTTGACTTCTGAGGCCTCTTTTCAGATACCTACAGAGCTGGCAAATTTATGCACAAGTAGAATGCTAAGCAAATTGTTACTGTCTTATTGTTAGATTGTAGTTCAGCCGTTAGGGCAAAGGATTTAAAATGAAGTCAAAAAAAAAAAAAAAACCCTCACTTTCTTGGAAAAAATTGTTTTGCTCCAATTAATTCACGAACACTAACATTACCACAGCTGGTCTAAAGAAGCAACCCAGACATTTGTCCAGCTGCCAGCTCTATAGCATCTCCATAAACATGCATCCATACCCAGAACAACATGTTCCGTGACCATTCCAAAGCAATGGAACTCCTAAAAATGTTTACGTCATGGGTTCAGACTTCTCATTTTTTCTATCAAGTGCTTTTCTCTTTTTAATACTTACTACATAACTTGTCCATCACAGCCAATTTCTTCAACTTGTACTTCTTGATTGAACTAATCCATTTGTAAGTCTACACTGTTTTAATACCATATGGAAAGCCTTACAGAGCTTGCCTTTCTGATTCTGGACATGTTCCCTGAACTGTTTTGTATCATGAAAGCAAGGGCCACCAGACTGTTGCGATGTCTGCCCAGTTCCTCTAGGTTTCTGGCAAGTGATGCCAAGGTCTGTGGACTCAGCACTACCATGTTCACTAAAGGTCCAAGGATGGGATAACCTAGTATGTGTCCCACAGGCACTTGCAGTCACAATGGCTGCCATCTGGATCATGAGCCCCAGTCTTGGGAACAACAGCAGTTGAGTGAACTGTAGATGTTGGGACTGCTGTTGCTAGCAGAACTTCAGGTGTTGACCTGGGTACACTTCTCCTCTGAAGGGCCTTGCTGGACCTTGATCATGTGTGATTTCAGGTTCCATGTGGCATCCTAAGGGTCATCTCTGCATCTAGAAATGTAAAACTGTGAAAAGACTACCAGTTTTTTAAACAAACAAAAAAAATTTCCCACCAGACCATTCTAGGTTTTGATTTATGAATTGATTGTTAAATGGCCACTTGATAGGTCATCTATTTGTTTAAATTTTTGTTATATATCATGCTCTGGTTCCAGTATTGAAAATACAACCATGAAGAAAACTAGAAACAAAGCATTGCTTTACTAGAGCTTTTAATCTTGAAAGTACAGGTAAAATTGAAGTAAAATAAAAAAAAAACTTGCATTGTATGTTGGATAATTTCAGGATTGTGGAGAAAAAAGAGGAAGTGGGTGGAAAAATGGAACTGGGAAGCTTCTATTTCCATAGCTATTTGCTATTTCTGCTTTGAAATGTAACTGAGCCATTCACACTGAGTGTCCACTGTTCTACAGTCTCCCTTGGCACCACAAGGGTTGGCTTTTATTGAGATGTATACAGCTTTGCGGTTGACAGAATTTTCATCACTCTCACTGTCACAGGCATTGCAAACTCCTAGACAGGCAAGGAAAAGTCCAACTAAGTAACTAGTTAATTTTTAATGTAAAATCACACATACTTTCTGAAGTGTGTTCATGATGGCCTCACATCTTAGTTTTTCTCTAGATAGTTGACATCATGAAAATACAGACCAAAGCAACATTTCCTTAGTCTTTGTGCCAACTAGAAGACAGGTTCATTTTCATTCTGTCCTTCAGAAAAATCCAACCTTCTCTAATTTAGAGACTGAGTTTCTGGGCTCACAAGATATTCCCTTATTCCATTTCCCTGGCACATTCAGATACATTCGATGTAGATGAGTTCAAGAGAAGTGATGGGTTCTTCTTATATGTCCCCTTTGCTATAGTTTTTAAATTACCAGTTTAAATGGTTCAGATTTTTGAAATGATAACAAATGGATTGTAAAATTCCTGGAAACCTAACAATCAAGTCTCAATAAGCAGTGCAAGTCATTTCCAACAAGCTGTCTTCAGCACACCATGATCTTTTGAAGAAACACTTCATTTTTAAAAACCTCATAACAGTTTTTATTGCTTAATACTTAATATGTGCCAGATTCCATCCCAGGCTATTCTGCTAGGGTCAGAGCTAAGGTGGATTCTGGGACTTTTCCTTGAAGAAGTGAAGCTAGAGGTAAAGACAAACACAGCATAAGGACAGAGTCTTCTAGAGTAAAACCAAGGTGTGTCAACTGCTGATAGAGAAAACATTTGAGTCTAAACAAAAGACTGAAGACAAGTGGGAAAAGCAGACATCAAGTAATTTAGGCGTATAGGTGGACCTTAGGAGGGGTCTCTGGAGTCACACAGGTAAGCATATGAATCCTGTTGTCCAATCCCAACTATTTATATAAATGAAGTGTTAAACTAATTAATCTTAATCAATTAAAAAATCAGGAGTCAAATTTTGGAAGATCAGATAACTGGGAGCAGCCAACTAGTTGCTTCCTACCTTTCTCCTTCTTCAATCCAAAAAGGCAAGATCCTCCCTGTCGTGCCTATCACTTCCTGCTTCCTCTCTGTACAGTCCTCCAGATCTCTATGGTTAAATAGTGACTAGCTCTGCCCTCTGATGCCAAGCAAGCTTTATTTGTCAGAATACAAACAAAATATCACACAACATGTTCAGTTCCCAACACACAGCATCAGCAAAATCAGCTCACCTGAAACTTACCTATACTTTTTCATTTTAGTAAACTTTAAAATCTTATTTCTCTTGAACAGTTATGACTTTGGCAATGACAGCAGGAATTTAGGTTAACACTGTGAGCTTAAACCTCCAAAGTTTTCCTTTTTTTCAAAGGTTTTCTGATCTGCCTATTCTTGGTCATAATAATAGTACAGCTTTTATTGAAAAGAGGCTCACATTCACAAAGTATACATTAATTACTTATCCTGTTGCTATGGTAAAATACCTAATGAGAATAAACTGAGTGGATGAAAGATTTATTTTGGTTCACAGTTGAAGAGTAAAGTTTATTATGGTGGATATGCTGTGGTGGTAAGTCTTAATGTATTTAGAGCCAGTAAGGAGAGAGAGAGAGGGGAGAGAGAGAGAGAGAGAGAGAGAGAGAGAGAGAGAGAGATCAGTGCTCAGTTTGTCTTCTGTTTGCATTCAGTATAAGACCCTAGTCCATGGAATGGTGTTGCCCACAGTTAAAAGTGTATCTTTTCATCTTAATTAATCTACTCTAGATAATTCAACACAAACAATGCCAGAGACATATCTCCTAGGTGATACTAGATCATATCAAGTTAGCTGTACTCACCATCAGAAAGTTTAGAATGATTGGGTCACCAAACTGTACCTTGAGATCCTAGGAGGCATTATTACAATCCTAATATTCCCAAATTATCAGTCTGAGATCTGAACTATATGAAAGGTAATGAAAGCACACAGGGTATTGCCTGGGGACATAGTAGATAGAGGTCCTGAGGTAGGAGAAGCAACATTATTGAGTAGATGGGGACAATACAGACAATAGATAAATTGTTAGGTACTTTCGGGATGATTTTAGTCAACTAAAAGTTAGTTAGTAGCATTTATGGAGAAATGCTTGTTCAGAGAATATAGAAAGAAGAGAGGAAGAGAATGGAAAGGTGGGGCAATGGGAATGGCACAGTAAGTAAAGGGCTTACCATGCACACATGGGCACCGAGAGTTTGATCTCTGTAACCTACATAAAAGTTAAGCATGCTAAATGCCTGTTATGATAGCAATGGGAAAGTAGAGATAAGAGTGTTCTGGGGTTCCTCTGGGGTTCTCTGGTTAGTTAACTAAGCTCAATAAGTAGTTTCAAGTTCAGTGAGAGACCTTGTCTTAAAAATAAGGTAGATAGCACTTGCAGAATGATACCTAAGATTGCCCTTGGGCTTATATGCATGCGTATCACTTGCACACTCACATAGGTGCACGCGCATACACACACACACACACACACACACACACACACACACACACACACTCACACCACACAGAGACAGACAGAGAGAGACAGAGAGTAATGGAAAGAGGAAAGAGAGATGAGCAAGAACTGGGGAAGGAAGATAGCAAGGAAAAAGAAGAAAAGAAATATAAAAGTTAAATACATTTTATATAGTCTATATTATGTTTGTATTTGTTACATTAACTGTTTTCTACAGCATCATTACTTAGGGATGGGAAGGAAGCCATTAGAGTCTCAAACAAGAAATGGGTATTCTAAATAATGTGAATATAGTTGGTCTAGATACAATATACAGTACAAAAGTCTATTAGTCAGGGTTCTCTGGCAACATAATTGCTAGAATATATATATTAGAGTGGCTTACAAACTGTAATCTGGCTATTCAACAATGGTTGTCTCCTCGTGGAAAGGGCTAGGAATCTAGTAGGTATTCATTCCGTCTATGAGGCTAGATATCTCAGCCTGTCTTCAGTTTATATTGGAATCCTAAGAAGTAGGTCCAAATATTAAATGAAGAAACTCCTTGGTAGCAGAATAGATGGTGTTACCATTGAGAGTGAG